CACATAATTCAAGCCGCATAGTTTTTATTGTAGCTGGAAAAATCCATTTTTCAACACATTATCTCCTTTGGTAATTATACTCTTTATTTTGTGATTGCATTATTTCTTTAGATAATATTAAATATTATACTTAGTTCTTTTATAATATAAGCATAAATCCTCTTTTTGTGCTTTTTGAGGGTTTTAAAATATATTGTATGAATTTATATTAGTTTTGGCCTTAATGAATAAATTTCAAAAAACTTGGAAGCTACTATCATTACTTGACTTATTCTTCTCAAGCCAAGTCTTTATTCTTAATACCTTTCAAATAATCAATTGTCATAAGCAATAGCTTGAGCAATAAATTATTCCAAAGATTTTGTTTTTGGCATTATTGATAACAAATCTTTGATGTTGTCTTTCAACTCATATCAAAATTGATTGATAAGGGCTTTGTCATTCCAATCAATATTGCAAGTAAGGTTTTGGAATTCAATATTATATATGGTGGTTAACCATCATCCTTATTGTAAAGATAAGAACTTGGTCTCTACTATTCTTTTTCAATCACTTTCTCCAAATGTAGCCATAAATACTTTTAGGAATGAATTCAAATCAGAAAAGAGTTACAAATCCTTTTTCATCAAAGGTAAAAATTAAGAAAAAATACTTTTAGATAGAAGAACATTTATGAATCCAACTTCTATAAATCCATTACGATATTGGAGAGATGCAACTTTAGATAAAACTTGACTTGTTACAAAAATCTTCAAAATTTTAATCTTGTTCCATCAAACTTTTTGGGCATACTAATCCTTGTCTCTATTGTACTTATAGAAAAAAAAACTTTTTAGATTTGATTATGAGGTTGATCCACTTGTTTCCTTCAACTACACAACTTCTTAACATAGATTTTGAATCTCTTTTATATGCATAAGAATGGTATCTCCATGATTTATATTAGAAATACATGAAATTTCTATTCTTAGAATGTTGACAAGCTTATGAAGATTTGCAATAGTTGCAAATCTATTCACACTTCTACTAAGAGTAGCATCCATAATGTTTTCTTCCATAGACAACTCAAATAAATTCAAAAAGTTAAATTAGATGAAGATAATTCACAACCTCTAATATCAAATGATTTTTTTTATAAAGAGGAGTAATCTAATCTCTTTAAAGAAAAAATTAGTGTTAAAAAATAAGATTATTTATTTAAAAAAAAGATAGTCAAGAACCTTCAAAATATAATAATAAAAGTGGAATAATTCACTTACTTCTAAAAGAAGATGAAAAAAATAAGTTAGCACTCTTGTCATAGTACAAAAGACATAAATCTCAAAGAGAAGGAATCTGAGTACACTCTTGTGTCACTCAAAAATACTAAGAAATCACTCAAAGATGGTAATACATTGAACTAGAATGGCTATTGTCAAAGATAAGAAGACTAAATAGTTTGAAAATAAGACTAAAGACTAGAAAGGCATTGATAAGAGTAGAGAAGGCTTCATTCTTGCCTCCATATATACTCTTTTACTAAGAGCTATATTACAATATTCTATAGGACCTCTAACATGTGTTGACTTTGCTAGCCATATGTCTTAACCTGTAAGGCAAGTTATTTATGTATGCACCATATAATTAGCTTGTTCTATAAGCTATCAACATGTATGGCACATGGTTAACTTGTTGACCAAGTTTCTAACCTATCAATCAACTACAAACATGTATAAAGTCAAAAATACATCTATGAAGCTTTTATGAAGCTTTTTTAGAAGATATTATGAAAAAAATTTATATTTACATACTTCTACTTCATTATATAGGTAATTATTGAAATAAATATGTATAATCGTGATACAAAGGTATTTTCTAATAAAGATAGAATTTGTAATGATTATTAACAAATTTCAAAGACAATCATTGAAGAACATAAAAATAGATTTTAGAACCCCAATATTTGCACATAAACAGTTGTATATTGTCCCATCACAATGTACTTCTCTAAATATAATTAAGATCATATATCTTGAAAATAATGAAGATAAAAATACAATAGTAAATATAATTTATCTAGAAGTTCTTTTAACTTAATTATTTTAGCTATTGTTTACATGAAATATGAAAAAATGCATTTGTCAATTAAAATGAAGAAACATTAATGGATCTATTCTTATGTATATACTCTTTTGCTTATATATATATATTTTTTAAGAATGGCTAATTTTTAGCAACTACAAATTAAGTTTTTATAACTTTTTTGTAGCCAAAAATATGGATTTTTACTAGTATAAATATATGAATAAGATCTACTAGACATAATAATTAAATGCAAATGATTGATTGACATATTTTTATTTATTAACAATTTTTAGTCCTATACATTAAGTAATAATTAATCAATAGCTGTGATAGTCTAATAAGTTATTTTATTTGATAAATTTATTATAAAAAATAATTTATCTCTAAGAATTAAAGAAAAAAATTATTAGAAATAAATTATTCTTTATTACCATATACAACTTTTTTAGAGAACCATTAAACTAAAACTTGAATATATATTTTTAATTTTAAACAATCTTATTATAATGTAAGACAAAAATCAAATACAAAAAAATATTTTACAAATATGATAACATATATGTATATTCAAATCTTATATATATATATATATATATATATATATATATATGATATTAAATTAATCCATCTAAATTAAGGCTCTATATGGCCACAATGAAGAATATATAAAAATCTTCCTTTTGTGTCCAATTAGATTGATTTTCTAGTTAATGTACAACCTTCTATTTCAATACATTCCGGTTTTCATTTACAGCATTTAGATTGGAATGCCACCAAATCACATCCTAAACTCTATAATATGGGATATAAAATATATTGATGTATTGTAAGCTAACAATTAGTGGAGAAAAGATTTGCATGGCATTGTCCATTGTATTCACAACTTTATTTGCTTTTCAATTGAAAAATGAATTATAAAAATTAAGTGAATCAAATTAAGATATAAGTAGGTTAATATAATAATTATTCTTTATATATATAATATACAAAATATATTATATTTTACAATATAAATCCTTAATTATATAAATATTTTAAAATTATAAATATATATTTTATTATTATTATTATTATTATTATATAATTATATATAAATATTTGTGTTATAACAGGAAGATCCACATAGTTTTTTTAAAATTTGAAATTATATTATAGTTTAAACTTATGAGTACAAAAACTAAATGTAAAGATTTTATTTTTTATAATATGTTGGAACTAACTACTAATAATAGTAAATTTTAATATCTACATATATATATATATATATATATATATATATATATATATATATATTAGAATTATGTATATGTATATATAAATAAATGTATGATTAAGAAGACAAACTAGACTAATAGAAATTTCATATGTTTTTAATTATTACAATAGTGCTTTAAGAAATTTGATTAAAATTTGATTATTAAGATATCTTAAATTAATATAGACTATTGAATTAAAATAGCATGCAAATGATAAAATAGACTTGAAGGTGCCTTGTCAAAGAAACTAAAGAAAGTCGTCACTGTTAAAAAACCTGATTAAATTGGATCTTAGAAGTTGTTTGAAATGATCTGTTGTAGTATGTATATATATATATATATATATATATATTTCAATGAAAGTTCCTTAGTCTACAATTATTTTGTAATTTTGATTAACTAAATGTAACATGATTTTAAGATAAAATTATATATGCAACAAGTAATTGCTGATTTGTTTACTGCTTAAATTCTTGTATCTATTTATATGACTGATAACAATATTTTGATTAAAATTATTATTTAAAGATTGTTTGATTTTAATTTTGAAGTATATATACATAAATATTTTATAATATAAAACATGTGTAAGAAAGTAATCTAGGATTTTTAATTATTAATGCATGTATTACTTTTAATATGTATAATTATAAGCAAATTTTATGCCATAAATTGAACATTTTAGTAAATCAAATATTTGTAACAACCTTATATCATAAATTAATGAACTACTTTTAGAAATGTTATTATAAGTCTTAGTGAAGGAGTATGGAGTTTATAATTATAAGTATTATAATAAAAAAATTATTAAAATTTACATATTTTAATCAAATCTTGTTTTTTTTAGACACAAAAAAATTATTCATATATTATTTTCAAAATAAAATAAAAACAATAGAAACATAAATACCATTTATAATAAAACATGAAGTAGGATATAATTTAAATTAAAATTTTACAAATTGAACTAATGTCTGATATCAAAGCCTTTTCAGGAATTCAGAACTATATTATCTAGTTTGTAAATATCTACAATCATAAAAAGTATCAAATTAAATCTTTAATTATTACATTCTTTAAATTTATTTATTATATTTAATAATAACAAAACGTTTGGTATTTTATATATATATATTAAATAGATATAAAAATAATTCACAGAAGGTCTATTAATTCACCTGTTTGTTCATGTTTCAGGTGATTCATTTTCTTTCACCAATGGAATTTGATTTTTTTGCTGCAAAGATGATTCGATATGCAGATTTATAGTTTTTTTTTTTTTTTTTTTTTTTTTTTTTCATGTGTGTGTAAATAATAAAACTATAAAGGAACTAGCATAAAACACGTGATTAGAAATATTACAGTTAATCATTGTAATTTTAGTTGGATTTTGCAGGATAATCTTTTCAAAGTTACTTATACTAATACAAAACGGGCGAGGACGGGCCGGGTCCTGAGGGGAGCAGGGGCCAGCGGGGGCCCGGAGACGGAGAAAAAGGAACAACGGAGATCATCCACGACTAAGCCCCCTCCATTGCTTTCTTCCTTCCTTTCTTTTCTTTCCATTCCTTTTCCTTTTTCCCTCCGTCCCCTCGTCCGTCCGTCCGTCCGTCCGTCCTCTGTCTCTGTCTCTGTCTGTCTCTCTCTCTTTCTCTCTCTCCCTCTCTCTCCATGATGAGCATGACCGAGGAACGGCATCTACTTCTTCTGTTGGAAGAGAGCGAGAGTTCTTTGGTGTATTTCCAGACCAGGATTAGGGTTCTGCTGGGCTTGGGCTTGGGCCAACTGTCGCCGGTGCCCCCCCGCCTGTATTGTGAACAGCGAAACAGTCACACAGACACAGACACAGAGCGAGCGAGAGAGCGAGGAGCAGAGAGGCCGCGAGAGCAGGGTTGGAATCTCTGCCTAGGTCTGGTCGGTGTAGGACGACGACGACGACGCAGGGAGACTCTCAGAGCCATGACGATCGATGGAGAACCTGCCAAGGTGTTGCTGCCGTACTTGCAGCGTGCCGATGAGTTGCAGAAGCATGACCACCTCGCGGCTTATTATTGTGAGCTCATACTTGGAGTTTGTTTGATTCAATTGGGTCATTGGCTGATTGGTTTGTTTCGATTTGCTTATCTGGTCTGTGCTCTCTCGGAGACTGTTGGCAGATTTAATGTCTCTGAGATTGTTTTTCTAGTGGATTTTCGTGGATTTGTGGAGTTGATCTTATTAATTATGTGCAGTTTGTTTTTTTCGGTTGCTGAGTTGTACTTCGTAGGGCTTTGGATTTGATTACTTCTAAATTATGATTATCACAGGCCGATTGTATGCTATGGAGAAAGGGTTGAAGATTCCGCCGAAGGAACGCACGAGTGAGACAAAGGCGGTTCTCATTTCTCTTATGAATCAGCTAGAGAAGGCAGGTCTTCGTTCATCTGAGAAATTGTAATGGTTCCTTGTATTCGTTTCGGTCCTGAGTAATTTATGGGTAGACCAATACGTATGGTGGGAATCAGCTTTTGAAGAACAAAGGAGTTGTGAATTTATATTTAGAGCTGTGAACTCTATCTGAAGATTTAATTACTTAATTTCATACATCTTGGTAGATATGAAGCATGTTGAATATCTACGTGGACGAAAAATGCTTTATTGCTCTATTCCTCGGCGGCTGTTGTGTAATTTGAAGTAATTATATGTGGTAAATTGCTTTTGTGATTGCAATATCTTTTGTGATGACATGGTGACTATCGATTCAACCGATTTCAGTGTTATCAAACTTTGGTAAAGTAGGGAAGTGCTGATTGTTTTAATAAAAGGTGGGGCAGGCAAATTTCGAAGGACTGTATATTCCTCATTACATCGTTGCTTAGACTAGCATGTGATTGTGCAGGACAAGAGGGTTGTGAAGCTGAGCACCGATGACAATATGTACATGGAAGGTTTTGCCCTTCGTGTGTTCGCCAAGGCTGATAAGCAAGACCGAGCCGGGCGTGCTGATCTGTATGGCTTGTGATCATATTTCTTAAAATGCTTTTTAGTAGAGGTTTTCGTTTAGTGCTGCAATGATTTTGGAGTAATGCTTTTTTATAAGTAGTTTAAAGCTGGGAGACGCTGGTAAGTGGTAATCGTCCGGAGGTTTGGTTGATAGGAGTGTACCCCAGTTGGTGGTAGCTTCAGCGAGAAGAAGTGAATTTTTACAAAGCTCTAGAATTTAAGTTGTAAATTAAGTTACCAGTTCGCCCCCGATGCTGTTAGGTAGCTTCTGTTGTGGTAAGTTATGCGTTATTGGTTTCTGGTGCAGGTTGGAAGTAGTCGTTCAGAGGTGCATGTTCACTGTGCTAGTGTTCAGTTGAAGTTGGGTATTTAGATTTCCTTGTGTTTGGGAAAGAGTGTGAGAAAGAAAACTGATGCCATTTTTATTGAATGTCAGGAAGACCGCCATGACTTTTTATGCGGCGAGTATCTTCTTCGAAGTCCTGCTTCAGTTTGGTGAATTGCCTCCGGATGTAAGTTAATTCCAACAATCTGTCTCAACCGTGGGGTATGAGATAGTGGCAACCTGTAATTATGGATCTTGCGTGTTCTTCAATATATTGGATGTCGTTTATTTGTCATCTGCCTTTTTTACGTCCTACCATATCTAGCTTGTGAACTCTGAATTATTGCAATCTAGTTTACACATAGTTTTGTTGACTATTTAGCAAGTTTTTAGTGACACTGTTACCTACTTGGGCTGACGGATTGTGGTATGAACAGATACTGGAAAAACAGAAGTACGCAAGTTGGAAGGCCGTGGACATTCGTAAAGCATTATCCGAAGGTAGGAAGCCGGTTCCTGGACCCCCTGTTCCTGACAAAGATGCACCTGAGGAAGAGTATACGACTTGGAGCACGGAGGTTCATTTTTTCTTTTGACCAAGCCTCGGTTGTTCTTTTTCTGGCTATTGTGCAGTCACGACGTATTCTTGCATATCTTTTCACAAGTGTGCGTGGATCAGGTGAAAATTGTGGTGATCGAAGGTTTTCTTTTATTTTGCAGGCCAACAACATCAATGCACCCGAAACCCAACAACCGAAGTCGTCTTCGAACAGGGATTCATTTCTCGGATCTTCGGATCCGAATACCGTTCCTCACAGAAGCTATACTCAATTGCCGCCTTCAGAACTCCCTTTACAGCCTTCTCATAGTAGTTGCCCAGAAGACCTTCCGTCTGCGCCCTCAAATTCAACACTCTCCTCGTACAATCAAAATTCGCAGTCTTCCGCTGATAATCCAGGCTATCCTTCTAATTCTCCATCTCACCAGTCACTGTACTCTCATACTTCTGGTGTATCCTTTGATCCGTCGAGTGGAAATGACAGAATGCCAGGCCATCACGTAGTTGGCACCTATTCATATCCTTCAGATTCTCCAGGTTTTTCTTCATCACCTCCGCCCAGCCATAACTCTTATCCTTCTGCACCTCAGGATATGCAAGGTGGTCCAAATCCTACCCATTTTTATCAGCCATCACATTGGCCTAATCCTTCAGCCAACGATTCTGCCTCTGCGTACCCTTCATTCTTTCCACCTGCAGGAAGTGGATTTCAGCTATCCACTCCACAGTATCCTACCACGCCACAAGCGCCTCAAGGAGTCTTAAGACACTCAGAACCGCCACCTCTTGCTCGAACAGGTAGTGCTCCTGTTGGACCTGACAGCTCAACAGGATATTCATTGAACGGGAACTATAACAGTGACTTCAAGCCCTCTGCTGGAGCTGTGGCTGAAGCTCACAAAGCATCAAGGTTCGCAGTCAGTGCCTTGGCCTTTGACGATATTCCAACTGCCATCTCATATCTGACTAAATCGCTGGAGTTGCTGACATCTCCTTCTGTCTCTATATGACTGCATGTTAATCTTGTGTATAGGCAGATAAGAACTGTATCTTGTGAGGTTGTCATTATCTATCTAGTTGTGAATCTGTTAGTGAGGTGGTTTGGTTTACCAGCTCATTACTTAGGACTGACGATGTGCAATTTAGTGTTAATTCTTTGCGGTCCAGCTCTAACTTCGCACAAAAGTGCGAAGATTGTAGATGATTTGGGTTAATCCAGTATGCAATACCTGTAATACATATGCACCAATCAAGGCATTTAGTGTTGCCTACACTTTACATGTGGCATGCACTGTGGTTTGAATTACCGTCGTGAACCTGGTATAAAGAATTGAGGCCGACATCAAACGTTTTCTTATTGCAGAGATTTTCACACCATTGAACGTTTTCAAAATCTCTCTTTATTTATAGTCATTAGAGATGTAGGCCCTATTTATTTCCTGTTCCTACGTGCTGAGTGATAATTTCTCTTTTTTTGCTTTGCCTCTGAATTTGTATGATAGAACTATTGTATTCATTCTGTTATAAAACAGATGGCAACTCTAGAGATCAATATACAAGACGAACCTCGAACTATTTTACAAGGTTGTTTGTTTAACTTAAAAACTTAATGTAAAATAACAAGAAATTAAAAGGTAGTGTTTACAGAAATTTGATTTGGCGAGATAGAGAAAGGTCTGTTTGGGAATACAACAATAATGAATATTATCTTTTAAATATTCCTGTCATCATTTCTTCTAAAATACAAATATCATTTGACAACATAAGTTGTTTCATTTACTTTCATACAGCAAATAAGAGTAAAGAATTACTATTTTTTAAAACATGAATTGATTACTTCTATGCACAATTTGCAATCATGTGTACATTGTGTTGTTTTAAGTTACTAAAATTACCTATGAATACATTCAAAAGTTTAATTATTTGTTAGGAATTTATTTTGACAATGGCTTTCTTTTACTAAAACTATTAGATGAAAATTATATCATAATTATAGCTTTATAAAACTTCAGCATTTCCCATTTAATTGAGCAAGAAAGATGGTGAATTCAAACAAACAAAACCATTAAAATAGAAATAAAATCATAAATGATGTAATACAATTGTGCTAGTAATTAAGAATGTTATTTTAAAAAACTATACTTAAAAATTATAAATTTTAATATTAAAAATAAGTAATTAAAAAATAAAATAAATATACAATAAGATAAATAAAAAGCTTTAATGCATTAATTGTGACATGATGTCACGGACATACTCATAATTACATATACAAATATGTAGAAGTAAGTAAAAGTAGATAAAAATAAGTTAATTCTATAGTATTTGATATGGAAGCTTCTTAGAAGCTTCATAGATACTACTTTGACTTCATAGGTGTCTTTAATTGACTTTTTGGATTAGAAACGTGGTCAACAAGTTGGCCATGTGCCACACATGTTGTTACCTTGAAGACCAAGCTAACTATGTGGCCCACACGTAGAAAAACTTGCCTTGTAAGTCAAGGCATGTGTCCTACAAAGTCAATACGTATTAGAGGCCCTATATAACGTCGCCACATAGCCCTTAGTTAGATAGTATATATAGAGACAAAAGTGAAGCCTTCTTCACTTTTGTCAACTCCTTTCTTACTTCCAGTCTAGTTTCAAGGGTCTATAGTTTTCTTGTCTTTTGGCAATAGCCATTCCAATTTCTCTTTCAATATACATACTTATTTATTTATATTTTATTACCTTTCTTTGAGTGAAGGCTCACTTGTCTGAATTGCTTTTTCATCGAGTTCTTGTCCTTGATAGATTGACAAGAGTATACCTACAATATCAGAGCTTTGTCTAATCTTGATTAAGAGTGGATTACCCCTTTTTCTTGATAAGATATAAGCATATAAGAAGTTACGGATTACCCTCTTCTAAACTCATATTGTCTTTAGTATTTTTTTTGTTTTCAAGTCCTCTCTTCTATTTGTCTTAACGATGTTAGACATCTTCTCTTTTTTAAGTATTATCATGGCAGAACTTATTGAAATGAAGAGTGCAATGGCAAAAATGTAAGAGCAATTGAGGGAGTTAATGCTTACAATACATTAACTCAATTTACCACCACAAGGAGCAACAAGATTGGCACGAAGTGAAGATATAGAAATGGTTGGAGCTGCTTCAACATCTGCACCAAACCATGTCCTTTCTCCTATGATGGAACGCCCTTCCAATATTAGAGAACGAAGAATTATCCTACTCGAGAAGTTTGATGGCATCAGATCCAAGTTTAGAGGATTTATCAATCAAGTGTAATTCGTAATTGAACTTCAACCCCAAAGCTATCCAACTCCAAGATCGCAAGTTAGATTCATTGGTACGCTTCTTTCAAGTTCAGCACTTTCGTGGTTTTCATCTTTTCTTGAACGACGAGATCCAATATTGAATAATCTAGAAGCTTTTCTGTTGGAGTTTCGATCTATGTATGAAGAACATGATGCAATTCGTGTTACAACCAATAAGATCTGTATTTCACGACAAGGCAATCAATCAATAACGTTGTACGCTTCATAATTTTGATAACTTGCAATTGATATCAAGTGGGATGATGCTGCACTTATTAGCCAATTTTTCTATGGATTACAATATGAGGTAAAAAAATTAATGCTCAACTTACGTGATCCTCAAACATTGAGTCAAGCAATTGATTTTGCTATGAAGTGCGACAATCATCTTTTTGAATTTCGATCTAAGAACCGTACAAGTGGACCTCAATGTTACTATAATTCAATGGCAACACCAACATCTCTTCAACACATACATTCGAAAGTAGAGGATATGTAAACTGATGTAATATGTTTCAAACCTCTTACTGAGCAAGAAAAGACTCGTCATCGTCAAGAAGGATTATGTTTATAGTGTAGAGAATCAAAACACAATGCTCAACATTGTCCAAAGAAATGATGCAACCACAAAATGACGAGTATGGCTGTCAAAGAAGACAATATGTTGAAAAACGAGTTTGTCTAGCTACAATAGGGACCATGCGGCTGGAACCTTGTACAACATCTAGTAAAGGTACTATTCTTTTGCTTAGAGCCCTCTCCTTGTTTTATATTAAATGTTATTTTAGCACCTAAATATTATAAAGCCTCTGCCTTGTTAGATTCAGGAGCCTCGACGTGTTTCTTAAATAAAGAATTTACTAAAAGACATAGTATATATTTAATAAAGAAAACTAAACCTGTTCATGTAGAAGTCATAGATGGTCGTCCATTGTCTTCTGGAGATATTACACACAAAATCCTTCCTATAGAAGTAATAATCAATGGTCATAATAGCTTTGTAGTATTTAATATCATTAGATCTCCCTCTAATCCAGTCATTTTAGGTTTATCATGGTTAGAAAAATACAACCCTTAAATAGATTGGATTTCCCGAACTCTTACTTTCTTTAAAAGTATAACTAACAATGTAGTTGATCAAATAGAAAGTCATAAGTCCAATTCAATTAAACCCATGTTTATAGGTACAAAAGCTTTCTTGCATGCTGCTATGAAAGAATCACCATATATTATTTATGCCACAACTGTTTCTATTGGTGGAAAGACTTCAAGAGGCATTCCAAGCCAATATCAAGAATTTCAAGATGTATTCGAAAAAAAGAATGCGGATACACTCCCGAAACATCATCTCTATGATTACTCAATTGATCTTCAAGAAGGAGTACAACCGCCATTCGGACCAATCTACAGTTTATCACAAAATGAGTTGACTAAACTCAAGGGGTATATTGAAAAAAATCTAGCCAAGAATTTCATATGCCATTCTAAATCTCCGGTAGGAGTTCCAATTTTATTTGTGAAGAAAAAAGATGGATCATTGTGGATGTGTGTTGATTATTGAGGACTCAACAAGATTACCATCAAAAATAGGTATCCACTACCTTTAATATTTGGACTTCTTAATCAGCTGAATCAAGCTAAGATCTATATAAAAATAGATCTTCGGAGAGCATACAATCTAGTACGCATCAAAGAAGGAGATGAATGGAAGACTATATTTCGAACTAGGTATGGACATTTTGAATACAACATCATGTCTTTTGGACTTACAAATGCACAAGCAGTTTTTTAACATCTAATGAATGATATTTTTTGAGAGTTTTTGGATGATTTTGTGGTCTGTTATCTAGACGACATCTTGATCTATTCTAAGAATCTAGAAGAACATGAACTTCATGTTCGTTGTGTGTTACAAAAATTAAGAGATGCAGGATTCTATGCCAAGATAAAAAAGTTTGTATTCCACACTACTCAAGTCGATTTCTTAGGTTACATCATTTCAAATGATGGACTTATGATGGATCTTAAGAAAGTTTAAACTATTATAGATTGGAAGATCCCAAAAACGGTAAGAGATGTCCAATGTTTTTTGGAATTTGCCAACTACTATTGGATCTTCATCAAAGACTTCTCTCGAGTTGCAGCTCCACTTACACGTTTGATTTGTAAAGACAAACTCTAATGGAATCAAGAAGCAAAAGTTGCTTTTGAATCTATGAAGACAACGTTTGTTTTTGCACCAATTTTGTATTGTGTTGATTTTTCCAAAGCATTCTTTATGGAAACAGATGCATCAGACTTTGCTTTGGATGCGGTTTTATCACATATGGGAACAGATAACAAACTTCATTCAGTAGCCTTTCATTCAAGAAAATTCTCAGCAGCAGAAATCAATTATGACATCCATAACAAAAAACTTCTTGCAATTGTGGATTCTTTTCAAGAATGGCATCATTATCTAGAAAGCACTTTTAGTCCAGTCACCATGTATACAGATCACAAGAACCTCGAGTATTTCATGCCAGTACGCATATTAAATCATCGTCAAGCTCGTTGGAGCATGTCTTTATCAAGATTCGAGTTCATCATCACTTATCGGCCAAGAAAACAACAAGGTTTATCCGATGCCTTGTCTAGATGTTCTTATCTTGCACTAAAAGAAAGAGATGCAGCTTTTGAGCAACAAAGAACGGTTTTCTTGAAGCCGGAGCAATTTCATCTTTGAGCAATAAAATCAATATTGACTGTTGATTTAACTTTTATCAAGTAAGTCTAGTTAAGTATGTCTTCAGACCTTCTTGTTCATGATATCAAGAGTAATTCTTCTAAATCTCATGATCGCTCTAAATTCGAGTTCAAAAACAACCTACTCTATTTTGAAGGACGCCTATATATTCTAGAAGGAGAAGCACGTTTACGTATTCTTCAAGCGTGTCACAACTTCCCAGCAGTAGGATATTTTGGATACAATAAGACTTTGGAGCTGATATCTAGGGATTTTTGGTGGCCTCAAATGTGGAAGGCAGTCAAA